TGGTGAGGGGAAGGGAAAGGAGACTGTAAGTCGCTCCGAGACTCCCTTGGGTAGAGAAGGGTGGGGTATAAATCCAATCTCTTCTTCTATTTCCATCTTGGGAAAGGTGGGGGTCCAAGATCTCTGCAGTTCGGTTCTCCGGAGCTCATTGGAGCCGGGATAGAGACACTCACGGTCTGTTCGGAACCGTGAAAAGCATGGGGGGGAGTCATCTCCCGTTCGGTTCAAACCCCGGCCACCCCCCTCAAATTCCACCTTCCAAAGTACACACTCGAAAGGGCCCTTGGCGTATCAAAAGAGCTCCCCCCTTACACAAACTGATTAAAGTACACAGAGCCACAGGGGTAGAAACGCTCCCCTCGGCTATGCGCGCACACCCGCCGCACCCCTCTAGGCACACAGCAGGGTGGGAGGCTTGGGCCCCAACTGGCGGCCTCGGTCACGCCCAGACCCAAGGGTCCCACGCTAATAAAAGCGGTGATCTAACTGGAGACAGAGTTTACTCGAGATTAGCCGCTTGGACCTGTCCGTAACAGGCTGGATCCTGCGGAGGCTCGCCCGCCGCCACCAGGAGTGGCTTATCCATCTTCGAGGCAGTGGCGGAAGGTTCCAGCGGGTGCGGAACTCACCCTAGGGTTGCCAGCCTCCAGTTGGGGCCTGGAGATCTCCCAGTATTACAACAGACCTCCAGACAACAGGGATCAGTCCCCCCTGGAGAAAATGGGGGACTCTGTGGCATCGTGCCCTGCCGAGGCCCCTCCCCAACCCAAACCCCGCCCTCCCCAGACTCCGCCCCCAAATCTCCAGGTATCTCCCAAACCGGAGCTGGCAACCCCAACTCACCCACGGGACCCAACCCCAACGTTAGCCATGGATTATATGAACTGATAATAAAGTATGAGAGTGCCTCTGGGCATGTGCAGAGAGTATTCCTCCTTACTTCCCCCCCAAACTGGTATGGTACCACCAAACAGGGCTGCGTCAGGAAAAACAGGCCTCTGCCCGACAGTATAAGGTAAATGTAAAGGTTCCCTTGCTCGAAAGCTAGTCTCTAGGGTTGCAGTGCTCATCTCCGTTTCCAAGCCGAAGAGCCGGCGCTGTCCGAAGACGTTTCCGTGGTCATGTGGCCGGCATGACTCAACACCAAGGCGCACGGAACGCTATTCCCTTCCCACCGAAGTGGTCCCTATTTATCTACTTGCACTTTCTTGCTTTCGAACTGCTAGGTTGGCAGGAGCTGGAACTAGAGACGGGAGCTCACTCCGTCATGCGGCACACTCGGGTCTTGAACTGCGGAACTACTGACCTTCCACAGCCTGCAGCTCAGCGTCTTAACTACATTAACGGGCCAAGTGGCCCGCTACAGAAACTGCAGAAGGGCTACTTGGCGCTAAAACATGGTCATCATCGGAGGTGGTGACAGGGATCCGGGGGAGGCAGTGAACATAAGAACATGAGGGAACAGAAGAGAAGCCATGTTGGATCAGGCCAGTGGCCCATCCAGTCCAACACTCTGTGTCACACAGTGGCCAGGGCCTCCTGTGGAGAAGAGCTGCCTTCACTCTTCTTTCCTGTGCCATTTCCCTGACCAGAAATGCCACACCTGAGGCAGCTTTTAAGTCCAGGAGAGGAGAAGGAGGAGGAGGAGGAGATTGGATTTATACCCCGCCCTTCACTCGGAGTCTCAGAGCGGCTTACAAGCGCCTCTCCCTTCCCCTCCCCACAACAGACACCCTGTGAGGTAGGTGGGGCTGAGAGAGCTCCCCCGAGGACTGCTCTTGAGAGAACAGCTCTGAGAGAACTTGTGACTGGTCCAAGGTCACACCAGCAGCTGCATGTGGAGGAGTGGGGAATCAAATCCACTTCTTCCAGATTAGAGTCTGCGCTCCTAACCAACTACAACAAACTGGCTCTTTAATGGTAAGAAGATGGGCTCCGTTTGTCTCTTCCTCCCCTCTGAGTCTTAAAGCAACGTGGGGAAGGTTCTTCTTATCAAAGAAACAGCATAGAGGGGGTGGGTCTTGTTTGTTTCGGTGGTTGTTGTTTTAAATTCACCAGTGGCATGGGCATCATCCATACTACATGCCTTTGGCAGCTTTTTGCAGATAAAATAGCGAGTGGGGCCTCAAATCTTCCCCATGTCAACAGTGCCTCCCCTGGTATTCCTTTAAGCTCTGTAGAGGGGAAAAGGCAAATGACAAAAAAGTAGTGTCTTTTCCCCCCTAAGAAGACAAACATCATATGGGTACTGTCTTTTTCTCCTAAAAAGATAAACATATTGGTACTGTCTTTTTCCCTTAAAAGACGCACATCACACAGGTACTGTCTTTTAATTCCTAAAAAGACAAACATCATATGGGTACTGTCTTATTTCCTAAAAAGACAAGAAACATATTGGTACTGTCATTTCCCCTGAAAAGACGCACATCATACAGAAACTGTCTTTTAGCCCTAAAAAGAGAAACATCATATGGATACTGTCTTTCCCACAAAAAAACAACAACACATGGGTTTTTTCCTAAAAAGACAAACTTATTGGTACTGTCTTTTTCCCTTAAAAAGACGCACATCATACAGGTACTTTCTTTTATCCCTAAAAAGACAAACAACATATTTTTCCCCTTAAAAAGACACACATCACACAGGTACTGTCTTTTAATCCCTAAAAAGACAAACATCTTTTGGGTACTGTCTTATTTCCTAAAAAGACAAACAACAGATTGGTCCTGTCATTTTTCCTAAAAAGACGCACATCACACAAATACTGTCTTTTAGCCCTAAAAAGACAAACATCATATGGATACTGTCTTTCCCCCCCAAAAAAGACAAACAACACATGGCTACTGTCTTTTTTCCCTAAAAAGAAAAACTTATTGGTACTCTCTTTTCCCCTAAAAAAGACACACATCATACAGGTACTGTATTTTATTCCTAAAAAGCAAACATCATACGGGTAGTGTCTTTTTTTTCCGTAAAAAGACAAACAGCATATAGGTACTGTCTTTTTTCTTTAAAGTCCAAAGAACAAATGGGTTCTGTCTTTTTCCTTAAGAAGACAAACAGCAAACAGGCACTGTGTCTTTCCCTCCTGGAACTAAAAGCGACTGCCATTGGGGATATTTCTAGGGAGGAAAAAGCACCAGGAGGGAAAGCGAGCCCCGCCCTTCTCCATATCAGAGCTCCCTTGTGAATCGTGACAACTTTTTAGGGCCAAATAACACAAGGGGAATTTTGATCAGCTGAACCCCCGTGACACATGTAGTCCCAGGTTACAGAGCAAATGAGGCTATCAAAGCCAGAGGTTACGGCAAAGGGCTTCAAGGAGTGTGCATCCACACTGTCCTTCACAAACAATTAAAATTCTAGCAACCCAAACCCCACACCCAGAAAAGCTAAATCCTGTTCTGCAAATGGAGCCCCTCAGCACAATCTCCTCCACTTCACTTTAGTCTGAAAACTCACCGGTTTGCGGTGACGACTCCTCTCGAAAGCTTCTACCCTGGAACTCTTATTGGTCTCTAAGGTGCCGCTGGACTCGAACCCGGTTCCTCTACTGCAGACCCACATGGCTACCCACTGGGACCGCCTTCACTCCTTTGCATAATGTATGCTCCTTTTGCAAGCCGGGGGAAGGGACCACAACGGATGTGGAATACTATAATCCAGTGATGTCGAACCATTTAGAGACCGAGTGCCCAAACTGCGACCCAAAACCCACTTATTTATCGCAAAGTGCCAACACGGCAATTTAACCTGGATACTGAGGTTTTACTTTAGAAAAAACAACTCATACATTAACTTAAGATGATCCAAACAAAGTAAGGAAAGGAATCCCAAATGTTTTCATTTACTTAAAATTATTTGGCAGAGAATGATGGTCTGGGCCTGGCTGGGGCGATGGCACGCGTGCCCACAGAGAGGGCTCTGAGTGCCGCCTCTGGCACCCGTGCCATAGGTTCGCCACCACTGCTATAATCTCTCTCCCAAGGATTGGAAGTCTTATTCAGACACCCTGGATCCATCAGGCCTTCCTCACAGACTTTCAGGCCTATCTGTGCATTCAATGAGGACTAGAAACTAGCCCTCGGAGAGTCGTGGGAAGTTGAATCTGGAATCCAATCAGTGCTCCCTCTCAGCTGTGGAGTCTTGTGAGCAAAAATTCTGCTTCGTGAGCTGCTGGCATTAAAGTTGCGAGCGAGCGATCGGGCGGCGGCCTAAATTAGTTTGCTCTGGGGCCCTCCTCCCCAAGCCGAGACAAAAAGGCATGCGCCGGAGGCTTAAAAAACTGTGGAGCTAGCTCACACTAACTCAGCTGAGAGGGAACCCTGTGCCCAATACTGTCCTTTCTGCTCCCAAGACTTCATACCCCGTGCCCAGCCCTCGCTGCCAGTGTCCAAGGCAGAGGTCCTCCACAGTCCTCTTTGTTTAGAAGTTTATGCAAACCTAGCAGAACTTTTACCCGGAAACACACGTCCCAGCCAGTGTTCCCTCTAAGCTGAGTGAGTGTGAGCTAGCTCACAGTCTTTTAGCCTCCGGCTCACACATCTTTGTCTTCGCTCAGGAGGGATGGCTCCGGAGCAAACTCATTTATGCAGCAGCCAAATCACTCGCTCACAACTTTCATGCCAGTGGCTCCAGAAAGTAGAATTTTTGCTCACAAGACTCCACAGCTTAGAGGGAGCATTGGCACACCCAGCGTGTGTCAGGGGCTGGCGAATGTCTCAGATCCACAGGCTACAGAGTGACACATCCCGTCCACCCGGTCAGATCTGGGTGCCTTCTCCTCAATCAATCAATAAACCTTTAATGGCATATACAACATTAAGATCAGAGACAGAAGACTCCTTCGTGTCATCGTTTGAACAAGAGCCACCCCGCCCCTCTGGCTCCGCAGCTAGGCCCCGGGGGGCAAAAGTCCTCCAGAGAAACCACACCGACCCCTCTGGGGGGTGCTTCGCCCCCCAAAGCCACCCACTCACCCACCCACCCCCTTTGCTCACCTTCAAAGTCGGAGAGAATCCCATCCAGATGTTCCTTGACAGACAGCTGGGACATCTTGGCTCGGGAGGGGGGCCGTCCTCCGGGACCAGGGGGGCCCGGGTTGGTGGGGCCCGGCCCAGCCCAACTTGGTCTCCCTTTCTCTGGGACTCCGGCTGCCTCTGCGCAAGAAGAAAGAAAGAGAAGTTTTGGGATGGGCTGGGGACCGGAAAAAAGGGAACAAAGGCAGGGCGGGAGGAAAAACAAAGCGGGGGGGGAGAAAGTTCTTTAAAAGTCACACTGGGC